TTCTTCGTCCCTTTACTTCTACGTTTGTTCTTTCTCTCTTCTTTCTCTTTCTTCTCTCTTCTCTCTCTCTCTCTCTCTCTCTCTCTTTTCTTTCTTTCTCTCTTTCTACTCCTTTCTTCTTTGGCGAGGACAAAAATGCGCGCCGTTTATCGCTTCCCCCGTGCCGGCATCGCGCGCGTTTCAGTGCTAAATCAGAGCGCAAATGGTGCCTTATCGGAACCGTGCGCGAAACCGACGCACCGATCGCGAAAAATGCGTCCTCGCCAATTACAGCTGAGTTGAGCGTCGGATATACGCGTGGCTCGGCTCTCTTTCTCTCTCTCTCTCCCTCTCTCTCGTTTTTAATGTGTCTATAATTGTAAAACGAGAATTGCTATTTTATTGTATAGGATATTGGATATCAGAGAGCGCGTTGACAATTTTGGCTCTTCGCAATCAAAAATAGTGCTACGATTTACTAAAGTATAAGAAATCGAAAACCAAAGGCAGTTGAGAAAAGAGAATCGATTGTGTCAGCTTAAAGTAATTAGTAAAATTCGTGTTTCAAAAAAATTAAACATAAAATTCACAAAAATCATTCCCTACGCTACGATTAATTAACAGATTAATTAAATTTATATAATTTTACAAAATTTTCAATTATATTTAGCAGTAAAAAATGTGATAGACTTTGTATATTTTTTAGTGCTTTAAGGATTAGAATTAATAGGTAAACCGACCCTAAAGCTGTCGATGCACTCTTTTTCGAAAATTTGCGATCGGCGTGATACGAAAATCGCAAGCGTATCGCAGCGACGCTCGCCGTGTTCTCTTATTTCGCACGCGACGGCGGCGGTGTCCAAATAATGACTCAATAGTGAGTTTCACAGTGGAGTTTACGCACTCCCAGATACGGCGCCAGTCCGTAGTACTATCTCGCCGGCGGTACCCACGAAGAGACAAGTGTTTCGCGCGACAAGATAATCGCGCGTCGCTCTCGCGCGATTACGATAAGGGAGAGAGAAATCATTTTCGCGTTCTCCCGCGTGCAAACGAAATTACGCGCGAACGAAAGCGACACGATCCCGCGATCGCGTCGCGGATCCTCCTTCTTCTAAATTCTCATGATGCAGGGATTCGACTGGAGGATGCTGCTGTCCGGAGCGTGGTTCGAGATTATCGTACTGCTCGCGATCCTGGTGCTCGTTACCAACCGTGCTCGCTGCCGACCGCCCTGGTGGACCTTCTGGACCAGAAACTACGACGCGAACGCCGGTGAGTTGAATCTCCGATCTTTTCCGATGCAACCTTTAATCCGCTATATCGGTCAATAACAATTTTTTTTTTTTTTTTTTTTTTATTATTTCTATCATTATCAAGTATTATTTGTGAGCGCTAAGTTCAAGTTAAGAAGTCACTTTATCGATAACATTGACATACAATAGTAGCAATGTCGCAAATTACATTCAAAAATACATCCATCCGCAAGTTACATCCGTCGGATATGTAAAAACTTTTTTGCAGAAGAAATTTACGAACAAAAGAGAAGAAAGTGTTTTAAATAAAATGACTTGCGCAATCGATGCGGTCAAATATAGGCGTTAAGCTTCTCTGTATATTCGTATTTATTTGTTTCTCAAAAGCTGATAAACTCTACGCAGATGCAGGCGACAACGGCAGGAAGTTCAAAACGGCGCGCAACGTGCCGGGCCCGTGCGCCCTGCCGATTTTCGGCACTAGATGGATTTATTCCTGCTTCGGCTACTACCGCTTGAACAAGATTCACGATGCTTATAAAGGTAAAGAGTTGGCCTTTGCCCTTATCGATCTTAGCGATCTAACGTTATTGTTAAGTGTTAGAATCTCTTTGTGTCTACAACTGCTATGCTAATGATATCTCAAGGTTGCGCGAAAGAAGAACGAGAGGAAAGCAGAAAAAAAAGAATAAGGAGCGGAGGTGACTGTTGTGTGAATGCTGTTCATTATGTGCTAATATATGGCCGCTGAATTCCCACTGATAATGACCGATTAACAATTTTGATTAACCGACTTACAACGACCTGTAAAAAGGTCGCGAGATTAAATCGGGAGATGAGGGAAACCGTGTGTTTTCAGAGGGTCAGGGTCAAAGATACTTCTTAATCTTATCGCGGTGAGAGTTGTAATTGTGAGACAGAAAGAGGAAAGCGGAGAGTCTCAGACAGAAAGCTACTTATGTCACGTTGAAAGTTGCTTATATCACGCTGATTAAATTCGCAAAGAGGAAAAATATTCATATATAACTTATTAAATTCATCGATTAGATTATGCCGATATTATTACATCAACAAATTATGTAACAGTAGATATCGGTCGAACATGTTGTCTCAGAAGCTCCTGTTTTAAACAATTTACTCTCAATGGAGAATTCAAAAAAATTATATCTATTTTGTCGACGATTTTTTTTAAACTTAATTGAACAAAATTATTTTTAACATTATCTTAGCTCTCACACTTTACATAAATTTATTGGTGGTATCATAATTTATTATGAAATTATATCATAATTGCGAGAACGTCGAGCGACTGTTCGTACGAAATCCTGAGTATTTCGTTGTTTACCGAACGCTCGTCGGTGCGTATGGTATTTTAACATGGCTCGTTATCCCTGATTCAAGAGTAGATCTGAATCGGCGATACGGGCCGCTGTGCAAGGAGGAGGCGCTGTGGAACTATCTCGTGGTCTCGGTGTTCTCCCGTCGCGACATCGAGGCTATCCTTAGGCGGGGCTCACGGTACCCGCTTCGTCCTCCGCAGGAGGTCATATCCCACTACCGGCGCACCCGGCGCGATCGTTACACCAACCTTGGTCTGATCAATGAGTGAGTAGCCCAGGCCGTCTCTCGGCGCGCTCGTGGCGATTACGCGCCGCGCGATATCGAGGTCAAGTTTAAGGTCGCCGCGTGCAATTTCGGTTCGCACTTTCGAAACTTTATACGTTAAGTATCGCGGAAGATAGTCTGTTCCGCACACGATCTCAATATATCCGTGCAGCAATTAAAGCATAATTGATGAGAAATGCTGTGCGTACGTTATACAGATATTTCCTTTTCTGAGTTGAAAAAATTAGAATTCAAAAATTGCACATTGTATAAATTATTTTCCTACTTAATTGGAATTTTTTGGAGAAATAAATATTATAGAAATTTGAAATGCATTTGACGAGAGAGGACAAAAGAATGAAATAAATTCGGACAATTCTTGATTCTATGCTGCACTTCTGGAAAATTAAGGCATTAGTTAGCTTATGAGATCTTCCTTGGCCGATTAGAATAAGAGCCACTTAGGACTTGGGGGAGAAGTGCAAGAACAATCGAGTAATCAGTAATTGTCTCTAATAGACAAGGCGCGACATGGCAGAAGCTGCGGTCTGCCTTAACGCCGGAACTCACCGGAGCTAGTACCGTATTCGGCTTCTTCCCGGCGCTCAATATCGTCACCGACGGTTTCATCGACCTAATCCGCAAACGAAGAGCGGGCTCCACCACCGTGAGAGGCTTCGAGGAACTCGCTTACAGAATGGGACTCGAGAGTAAGTCGTCGACATGGTTTCTCGCATTCTACGAACCGTCATTGATCTGCGAACATCCGTTTCGCAGATAAATATTTATTCTAAGCCGCATTATTATTTCTATTTGATAGAGAGAAAATGAAAGACTTAGATATGCTAAATAAAATAATTAAATAAATAATATAAATTTTTTAATTTGTCGCTGATAATGCGCTATCTTACTTCGTTCGAAGGTACGTGCACGCTGATCCTGGGACGTCACCTGGGCTTCCTAAAGCCAGATTCCAGCAGCACGCTCACAACGAGATTAGCGGAAGCGATCAGGATTCACTTCACGGCCTTGCGCGACGCCTTTTACGGCCTGCCGCTTTGGAAGTTGCTACCGACATCCACGTACAAGCAGCTAATAGAGAGCGAGGACACTATATACAAGTACGTCACGTGTACTTATGATCGGTGTCCTCGCTTTCTATTAGCTGTGTTACACTAAATGCTTGATTGGTCTCCTCACATGGTTGAATCATTGCCGAATTTGTTTGTTGAATTGCTAAATTTATTTTTGTTAAACTACTTCAAGTGAAGTTTTATTCAAATCAAAAAGTAAGGATTAACCGCATCTTTGTGATGTACTAAAACACTTTGTTTTTTTGTGAATTGAGACGAGAGATTAATTATAATTGTTTTTTGTTTACAAAATGTATATTTTGTCGGATAATAAATTTAAAGCGTCAAAATGTAAAATTAATAATCTATAAACGTTAGCTTATTTTTGTTTTTCTTTTTCCTTAGCGTTATCTCGGAGCTAATCGAGGCGACTATGCTGGAGAAGCAGGACGACGCCAGAGATGAATCCGTCGAGGCGGTATTCCTGTCTATCTTACGTCAGAAAGATCTCGATATGAGAGACAAAAAGGCTGCTATAGTGGACTTTATAGCGGCAGGAATACACACAGTGAGAAAATCATGTTATATTAATTACAATTTTGAAATCTGATACATTTTAATCGCGATGTATTACGATTTCGCTATATAAACAGATATCCATTACTTAAATTCTTATACATTTCTCATACCATATAATATTTATTGATTTAAATATTTACAATAATATATAAATTGGAAAAATTATTATTTATTTAATCTTCTAGACAGTACATTTTAGATGTACTTTGTCTTTTGTTCGTTTGGATTGTTAATCTGTGCGATTATCGCTATAGAATTAAAGACACAGTCGTTGGACGTTTGCAGCTAGGCAACACGTTAGTGTTCCTTTTCGATCTGATCGGTCGTAACCCTGAAGTGCAGGAAGCTCTTTACAAAGAAGCGCAGTCCTTGGCGCCTCCCGGCTGCGATCTCACGGTAGACGATCTCCGCAAGGCGAAGTATCTACGTGCCTGCATCACAGAATCCTTTAGGTAAAAGTTCGCATTAATAAATAATAATAAATAAAATTTTTTAATTTAATAATTAATAAAATTTAATATTATATTAAATATTTCTCGCACTATTAACATATAATATATCGAAAATCTTTTCTTCATTGAGATTAATGTATTCGCAAAATATTGTACAACGTGAATGTATACGTTTCAGAATTGTACCTACAACACCTTGCATAGCCCGCATTCTAGACGAGCCTATAGAACTGGAAGGCTATCGCCTGGATGCTGGAGTGAGTTTTACTGATATTTGTGAGCTGCGAAACCTAATCGAAAATGTTTTGATGCAATTCATTTGTACAATTTTAGACAGTGGTATTACTGCACACGTGGATAGCAGGATTGAGCGAGGACAATTTCAAAGACGCGTCCAAGTGCCTGCCAGAGAGATGGCTGAAACCCATGGTACCTCACTCGCCTTTACTAGTGGCTCCTTTCGGAGCTGGTAGAAGAATATGTCCAGGAAAACGTTTCGTCGAGCTTGCATTGCAGCTTATTCTAGCAAAGGTATACAAAGCGTATCAAAATCTTAAAAAAATAAATAAATAAATCGATACAATTTGAAGGCAAAATTTTGCTGTCTTAATATTTAATCTGTCACTTACAATAGCTTTTTGGTTTTTATTTAGATCGTTCGGGAATTTGAAATTGTTGTCGATGAAGAGCTCGGCTTGCAGTTTGAATTTATCTTGGCGCCGCAAAGTCCCGTGTCACTCGGATTCCGGGATCGTATGTCGAGGGCTGAGATGACCTGAACGATTTACTAGCGATTCGTAAGTTTATTGATCAATGAATGCTAATTGAATGAACGAATGAATGCTCAATTATCGCATGGAGCGAGCGAGCTTCCCTCCCTCGCTCATCTTCCGGTTCGCGTGCGCTTCGGTTTTCATCGATTGATTTTCGCGTGTTATATTTTACGTTCGTGTATTATTTGTAATACAATTTTTTTAATTCGTTGAAAGGAACTCCGTGCGTCCATTTAGGGTATTTATCGTGTTACTTGCTTTATATTATAATATTTATATTTAATTGTAAGAGCGTAAACAATTGGGATCTTCTTACCTTTTAGATATTGACGCACATTGCTTGCACTGCGCCGTATCACTTTACACAATCCTCAACTCTTTTTTCTTCTTCTCATTCTGTGTGTTGTAAAACAAGATACAGTCGATTCAGCTTTTTGGCTCGCGAAGCCAATAAGTTGATTAAAAAGCAGAAAAAAATATGGGGCGGCAATGCAATTGCAAAATGTGCTCGCGGGTTTCTTAGTCACCCCATTCAGTTTTATCCATAATAACTAAATAGCTAATTATAATTAGCAATAATTTATCTACAATAACTATTAATTAGCAATAATTCATGTACATATACACGCAGAGAATGTTGATCTCGTACTTGTTATATGGAAAAAATATATATAGTGTGATGTCGATTTATTTGGTAATTTATTAAAAAAGTGAATCCGTGTTCGTCAAATCTTGTCAGAGTCGTTCTGTATAGCTATCGAGACCAACAGTTGGGGTGGCTGAGTTACTCCGCGTCAAAATTACAGTAGATTACATCCAGTTCAATCACGTAGAAAGCAGCGAGAGTCGATTATAATTTATAGTTATTTATTTCGGAGCTGCTGATTTCCCGTACGCGGTGAAAGTAAGACGATCCTGATGTTGTCTATCGATTGCGCGCACCGATCAACTCGCTGTGGCTGAAATGTTTACGTTACTGTGCGAAAGATTTATACGCAACGTAATTACTGTCGAAAAGTAAGAATTTTCGAATTCGTTATGCTTTTTTTTTTAAAAAGCATCGGTGTCGAATTACACTTCAGAGAGTGATCTCACTAAACATCTTCGTTCGGAGCGCAATTTTTGAAGCAATCTGAAAATGGATCGTTGATAAAAATGATCATTAATTATACATTCTTGTACATAAAATATGTAGATACCTCTTGTTGAATATAATGCATAATGCATATATGTTGAATATAATGCGTAAAAAAAAGGATTAAAAAAATGATTATGCAATATTAGTTACACGTGTTTGCAATTATTCGTCAAACTTTACTTTTGCTCTTCCTCCATAAATATCCTGTAAAACATATATAATTAATTGTAAGTTTATTCAAGTTTATTCATTAACTTTGTGTCCGTTGCGCTAAATTTCGAATCACATCGTCACGTAATTTGTTAATTTATTTCGTCGGACGTATCCTACAATATATTTATCTTTGTTAACGATAAAAATTATAATATATCGTACACATGCACATTAGTGGAATATGTTACATATAGTTTAAATATATTACTTGAGGAATACTCCCTCAATTTGGCGTCAAACATAAAGATCGGGACGGTCCTTAAAGTTTCCTGGATTGTAACGCGGTATAAAGCTGCAAATGGATTTGATTATCTCTCTCATCCGAGAACTTGCATTGTTTGGTGCGGTAGTAGTGTGTACTAGAGGAAAATAGTCTTACTTCTTTTTTTGACTTAACACCGTGAGACTGCGTAATAAGCGGGGAATAATACTCTTCATTAACTAATCTTCAACTAACATAAACGTTAACAATTCTGCCGATCAGCTTTCCGTCAAATCTGCAATGTTAACAGCAACCGCGGCTGATCTTACATAATTCTGAGTTTTGTTATTTCTAATGTAATTGTTAAACAAATAGTCCTCTGACTCCAAACAACGTCGTGGATATAGTTTCTCGTCGAAGAAAAATATCACTTGACCATGGCTTTGATGCTTCTCGGAAGGTTCGGTATGGAACCTTTGTTGACGCTTGCGGTCGTAGGCCTCATAAAACTGTGACTTTTTGAACTGACTCGCGGCTGCAATAGTCTGCTCCTCGTCGCAGATGTTTTGTCACTGGATGTCAATCGATTCCCCATGATCGATTGCTGACCGATGCTGCTACCGCTACTGCTGCTGCGGGAGGAGATCGGCCGACCCCTTGTGACCTTTGGCATATCAGGCACCATCTATAAATTGACATAAAAAATCTCGAATAAATTCGTAAAAGTTTATATAAATATATCAGCATACAAATCTTAAGATTGCAATTTGAAGAATATTAATTTTAAGAATTCTTAATCCAAATATTTTTAAATTGCGTGTATTTTGCGCATTTTTTTAATTTTGAAATCTTGTGCAATTCGCAGATAGAATTAATACGACAAAAGTTGCCTCAACTAAAGGTACCAACCTCCTGTGCCTTCCGAACGCTTCTCGCCGCGGGACCAACGCTGCTTCCGCTGCTACTGCTTCTGCTGGCGGGTATCCTGCTGACGCTGATCTGCTGACGAGGGCTCGGTCGTCTTTTGTCGACGTTCTTCGGCGGCAGCGGACTGTTCGATGGACTGCTCTTCCTCAGGTCATTGGTAAGTGCGCGAATGGCCGATGTGTAACTGCGTAAATGTGCGTGGCCGGCGGCTAGATTCCGCACCGTGTTCACGGAAGTCGCGCTGTTCAGTGAACTTCGTGAGCTGCGGAGACTGCTTCTGGAGCCAGAGCGCTGCACCTCGCTTCTGAACGCTGCCGAATTGCTCGAGGTAATATTCGCGGGCCTTTTCGGAGGCTCCGTCTTCCTCAGCGTGGACTCGCGCTTCGCACTAGCAGTGCGTTTCGGTAAAAAACTAGATTTCTCCGATGCGTTTCTCACGGATGCGCTCTCCCTCGGCTTGTCGAACGCCTTGTTCGCAGACGGCTTCAATAACTTGTTGACGGACGATCTTCGGCCGCTGTCAAGATCGTCGTCGTCCACCGCGGTGATGCTGCGCCGACGCTGCTCGCCGCCGTAGCTCAGCTCCGCCGGCGAATAACGCGTCGAGTCGTGCGTGTCCGTTTCATAATTGCCCGAGGACGTCTCCTGACTCAGAGTCTCCGACACGAGACTCTGCGTCTCTTCGAAACCCTCGTCATTCAATTCTTGATCTTTGCCTTTGCCGGACGACGGCGGCGAGGACGTCACGCTTATATCGGGAATGAACCTGCGGAACATGGAATTTTGTCGCGTGACCGACTGATCGCGAGGATCATCCGTTACTCGAACATTCTTTTCGAGATCTCTTGCGCCTTCGATGCTCTTCAGGTCCATGTGCTGCTCGTTTTTCACGACGTCAGGCGTATTATCCTGCTTTCGATCGAGGTGCAGCGAGCTTCCGTTTCGCGGGAAGCTCCTGGGAGTTTCCTGCTCCTGGTTGACCTGACTGGGCGGATTGCTGGTCACGCGAACCGCTTCTTTCACCTGGCTCGGATCGATCATGCTGCGGTGACGCTCGCGGCTCGTCACCGCTCGTTCGGCGAGCACCGTGATCGGCTCGCGCGGCCGCGACTCCTGCATCACCGGACTTAATACAGTGTTCGTCACCGCCACAACCGGCGGCGGAGGCTGACTGACCGGAAGTCGCGAGCTTCTGTGCGAGCCTGTCGTCGTTGTCGCCGTCGTTGTAGCGCGTGACAAACGCTGAAGGTCCTCGCCGGACCGGGCGATCTCCGCCAGTGCGGCGTCGATGTCGCGCGACGACGATGAGACGACGTCGCGACGCTTCAATTTGTCCTGCCAGACGCGTAACATGGCATCCTCGATCTCATTTTCGCGGTGCGTCTCTTCGCTGGGCAAAGCGAGGGTGTTGGGTCGCTGTACCGCTGGTTTCTCATCATAGATTAACTCGGGACTCGACGCGTCCGATTTCTCCTTGTCGCCCGTAGCATCTTGGGTCTTCTTGTACCTGCGAGTCCGCCGCGTTGCCGAGTATCTGTCAAAATTACCTGAAAACCAAAATATATTAGGATTAACAACTTTTAAAATTGCAACCAAGTTAAATTATTATTATTTTCAATTATTATCGATTCTAATCCTTATTTAATTAATAAATAATTGATTCTAAATTCTTATTTAATTAAGTAGCACTCGATCTTATAATTCGTATTTAATCTTTTTTCATACTTTTTACCGAATAGAACTTTATTCTTGATCTGATGTCAAATAAAGTTTCTTTCGCGCTTACCGGTGCCAAGATCCGTGCCAATTGGTTTCAGGATCGCAGTCCTCATTTCTCGATTCTGAAGAGAGCTGCTGCAACGTTCCCTCTTGCAGGGTTCCTTCTCCACGGGTTTCACCTCTTTCGGCGGACTAAATAGTCGTCTGGTCGTCGGTGGTGTCTCGATATTGTCCGAATCGATTTCGATTTTATCGCTGATTCTTTCCTCATCCGTAACTCTTTTGCTCAGTTTCGAGAACCGTCGAGTTGCAGGCGCTTGCGATCCGACGTAAGTTGGTTGCCGAAGATAAATCGTCAATTCGTCCTGAGTCGTCGTGTCCGGGTTCATCGTGTCACCGATCTTGTTCTTCTTTCTGTCTTCTTCTCTGATCGCCTGCGCGTGTATCAGAAATAGAAAATGTATTGTCGGTAAGAAATTATTTATTTGCTTATCAATTATTATCTATTGCCGAATTAAGCATTTACTTTGGCTGCATTTACACCTACCTGCAATGTGCTCGTGGCAAGAGCGTTTTCCGTGCTGTGTCTCGACCTAAGTCTACGGGAATAACGCGGATCAGTCTCTTCTATACTATTTGGTACGTTTAAGCTTGACTTTCGCCAAGGGGACTTGTCCTGGGACGAAAGCGGCTGAGCTTCTGAAACCAAACGAAAATGTTGAATTTTCTCGATTGATTTTTCAACAACAATTCTTATAACGAAATTATAATAAATGTATAATTCTCAGCGACAATTTAATTAGTCGCAATGAAAATTTTCGATATAATTTATGCAAGAAAAATTGAAATACACACCTTCAATGGCCTCCATCGTGCGCATCACGTCAGTTTTTTCGACCGACGGTCGCCAATCGTAAACCTCGGAGAATCCTCCGTGTATAGATTGATCTTCCGCCAAAGTGTTCATCGCGCTTTTGCCTTCGCTTTCTGCGGTTGAAACATTTCATAATTATATCCGCAATCAGCGCTTAGTTATACGAAAGATATTTTCATATTTACGGAAAGTAAGCTCACTCACCTGAGTCTTCGAAGGATCGTCGGTTCGCCTGATGCAGTTGCTTTGCTTTTCTCTGAAGCTGCTCGCCCGCACGATCCTCCTTCTCGTTCTCTGTCAGCCACGCCTCGATCTTTTGCCGCCACGCTTTTCTGATTTTTATATAAATATGAAAAATAAATTAATTTAACTTTCTCCGCCTTTTAGTAAAAGAGTAAATTTAACTTAATTAATTTAAATTTACTCTTTTACTAAAGTTTTTTACTATTAAATTTTTACTTTATTTTTTTCTTCAAGTGTTTGAACGTAAAAATGTTGAGTTATTCTTTAATTTATAGCCAATAAATATCAAACACTTACCCAGTTGGCTTCACTTCTTCTTCTTGAAGGAACGGTTTGGTTTCCGCGAGAGGGGACGGCGAGCTTGGTCGTTCCCGATCTCCCGAAAAATCGGCATTCAAAAGATCTCCTCTTCGTGACTGTCCGCGAGCTCTTCGTGCCCACGATCGATCTTAGATAACATTAAAAAAATTAAATTTTTATTTAAATTTAAAAGAATTGAATATCGCAAAATGTCATCTTAATTGTCATTAAATACCTAAACTTCCCCACGATTTTCTTTCCCGCGCATTATCTTGACCGGACGTTCGTAAGAAGTCCATTAAATTTCCGTCATCGTCCTCGCAGGGTATCCTGCTTCTGCGCCGACGAAGCGTGCCGTTAGGCGTGATATCTGTCGATATCGAAATAAATAAAATAAACAATCGTGGAGTTTGGAAATATAATTTAACTGCGCACATTTAAAATATAATTAAAAAATAGCAGATTCAAAAATTCGATTTTTATGTTTAAAAATTTGATTAATCATTAGAGAATAATAGCATTTTGCATTCTTCGGAAAATTTGTGGTTTACCAACTTCTTTGAATACGTCAATTACGGCATAATACCTGGCGAATATGTGTCTTCTTTGGTAGATAGTTGATCAGGTCCGCCGGAGCATGATCCCAAACGACGTCGGATGCTGGGTGATCCGATGATGGAGACATCCTCGTCCGACGTAACGCCACCATTCTGTAATCTTCTTATCTGCAAACGTCATTGAAAATTTTTTATCCTGATGTACCGTTGTCTTTTATTGATTTGTAATATTTTATACGCCCTGACACCTGCGCCTTGATTTTTATAGCTTTCTTTCCGTTGATTATTCTAAATATTATAATTGACAAAGTAATAATTGATAAAATATACCTTGGCCTCGCCACGACTATAGTTTCTCTGAGGTAAACCGGTGTGTAGATCGAAGAGCCCATAATCCATCAAATTAGATTCGGATTCCGAGCCTGGAGTCTCCGTTTGATTGCTCACTGCGCATTTAATGAACACAAATTTATCTTATTATTATATATAATAATATTTTAATAAATCAAATTTATTTATTATTGCAAGCTTATGCCTTTACAAATTTATCTATTTTTTTAAACTTTAAGTAAAATAAATACAAAAATATGAAACACGGTTAAAAAAAAAAAATAACTAGTCCTCTTTGTAAATACTTACGCAATCGTTTTCTCGCCAGCAGCTGTTCCTCGCGTTGCTTACGACGCGCCAGAACCTGTTCCTCCTGAATACGTCGCCTTTCGTTCTCTGCGACAGCCTGATTGAACTTCTGGCGGAATTGATGAAATATCTTGAAACACTCCTCAATCTTGAACATATTCGTATCCTCGCAGAAAAATTCTCCAAGAGATCGTCTCACTCCCTCGAGCTCCTCCATGTCTCTTTTCAACTGTGCCATTTCCTGTTCGGCCATCTGCAGATTTTTGAAAAAAAAATTTTTTTTTTCATCTTTTACTATAATATTTGTAAAAAAATTATTAGTCGATTCATTACGTTCGTTACCTGAAGAAACTGTGCCATTTGCTCCTGTATATCGCTTTCGGTCGAAGAGAGTTGAATCTGACTTTTGATCTTTTTAATCTTCGTATCCAGACTGTTAAATTCGTTAGTCAGTTGTTCGATCGTTGTCCTTGTATAGAGAAAATTGTTTATTGTGAGATAAACGTGTTAATTCTTCTACTATTGTTATTACAATAATATGATAATTTCTTACTTTGTCGCCGCTTCTAGAGCAGTCATATTCTTCGCAAAATTCAATAAGTCCTTCCGTTTTCTCTCAGCTTGCTAAAATATGTGCAATTTTAAGTAAAATAACTTAGATTAGTTTATAAATTGGATATAAACATTATATGATTAATTATTATTAATAAAAAATCAATCGATGTTTTACCAATGCTACATAATGTATCAAATTCATCCCCGGCTTGTTTGCACGAATTTCTGTTAACTTTTGCAATGATGAGAGCTTTACACCCGCTGCATTGCCAGCGTAACCGCCCTGCAATTATAAAACGTAATAATTGATTCTCAAATGTCCCTATCGAATGTTAAAATTTACAATTTATCGATGAACAATACATACGGAATTAAGAAAATTGCCGGCGACTAAGACCATATACAATACTTCCTGCAGAGGTTTGTTCGTCATAAGATCCTCGCCAGCAAGTATCATTGAGTTGATGCTTGGTTCCAGATAACTCATGTTCGCAGCAAATTCTTCCTTCAATAGCATACACTCGATGCGTAACTTGTAACTGTATATTGATTATTATTATTATTTATATGTAGTTTGGGACTGAATATATTGTACTTTTAATCAGAAATTTTTTTACGGCAAAGAGTTTGATAAAAATTGTGCAATAATTTATTACTTTGGTACTTGAATAAGCTGCAAAAAGAATTTCTCGGCGTTACCGAGCTTCGACTTGTCGCCGTCGAAGCTCTTGAGCATCTCTAATTCGTCCACTTCCGGTAATATTTTCAGAAGACCACGCAATTTCTCTGCGCCAATATCGTCGTGGCCGCCGTCTTTAATTAATTGGATTATATCTTCGTTTGAACTGTAAAAGAATACGGAAATATTGTATATACTTGATCAAAAATGTGGACATATGAATATATCTTTGCTTTCTTACCTTCGAAATTGTTTCAGAAAGATGTTGACATTCAGGCTTCTTTTTCCGTCAAGTAACGCAATCTAAATTGAAAGAATAAGATATAAAACCTGTGTTATTTCGCATTGCAAAATAAATATTAAGTAAAAAGCAACCTCTGTCGGTTCTCGACGGCGTCGTTCGGCGTCAACGCCGGTACCGCACGAGGACGAGTAAGTCGTCGGCGGTACCATCGGTGGCACTTGTTGGCAAAACAAGCCTTCCATTTCGGCCCAATCTAAATCTGCCATCGGGGAATTCTGATGTTCATTTGCCACGAGAGACCATATATTTCGTTTTCCAATCACCTGCAATACAGATGAGAAGTTTAGTAAAATTTCTTTTTTGCGAGAATAATTGTTTTCTCATATAAATTTTCCAAACAATTTTTCCATTTTGATTTGAAATAAATCCTGAGCTTTATTAAAGTAATTTTCTAGAGGATAATTCGCATTTTTTTCTTTTCGATTATAAAAAATAGATTTATTCGAATATAAAACAAAAAATCATCATGCAACTTTGTTTGAGTTTCTTTTTCAGATACCTTATGATTGGGTATCTTGTTCCAATTGATGGTCTTCATCTTTGTCCTAGGGGTAGGAATCTCCTGTTGCGGCAGCAGCCTGGCATGATTGCTAGGCGGCTCAGGAGTAGGTGCGCGTGCAATAGGAGGCACGCGCAAGGGTGGTGGCATTGGCGGCTCCATCGGTGCATCAGCAACAATAGAGTTGGCGAAAAGTGGCGGCGGAGGTGGCGGCGGCAGAATAAAGCCTCCACTTGGAGAAGTTGGTGGATTCGGTGCCACCGGGGGTGGCGGTGGGGGTGGTAAAGGTACTGTCGAATTGTTGCTCGCCGGCAGAGACGCTTTTCGCGACGTTCCGCACGTCTGATCGGCGCCGCGGCAGTGACAGCATAGATTCGTCTGCAAATTTTGTAAGGATTAAAAGATTTTTTTCAACAAATATTTAAAAACAAATCGCTTATAATTTTATTTTATTACAATTGTATTTAACGTGCTTAATTTGAAAAAGATATTAATTTATATGCATGCGATCAGAAATATAGTTTGTTAAGTAAAAGTATGCTTTTTACACTTGGCGCGATCAATTAAATTGTTGAAAAAGATACTTTTATTAAATTTCAGTAAATAACATTGTACTTTTTAAAGTGAATTTTGTTTTACGCAGCTTACGGAAAAAAAACACAGCTAGATCTACGTGTGTAAGCGCACTCTTCGCTGATTCATCGACATAAAGCGTGGTACGAGTTTCTTCTTTTATGGACTCGTGTCTTTCGGTCAAGTACGGCAGAAAGTAAAAGTGCACGGCGAGTATTACATACGAGGGAGTGTTACATTAGTTCATGTTAGCGCAGTTGACATTGACGACGATACTGGCGAGTAGAGAATCACGAAATTTAAACGATCTGATGTAAGCGCCACCGAGAGCCTTCTTTCCGTCGACGACGCGATCGCCGATTATACAATCGGCGAAAGTCCGTGGAAAAGAGTCGTGACGAACAAAGTCAATAAATTTTATCATCGACTCTCACCTACGTGAGAAGACCGCGCAATCTCATCCTTTACTGTGTTACGCTAATAATTTCTAGAAGCAGAAAGAAAAGCATTACGTAAGAGATCGCGATCCCTATTTCGCGAAATAACTTTGCGGTTTCGCGATTTCTGTCTTTTCCAATTTTTTTTTAACACAAACGAAATACGGTAAATGCGAGTACTTACTTGAAGACTAGGCGATCTCAACAACTTAGTGGCATCCTCACGGTTTTCCAACAACGTGGCGCGGTGCACCAAAGTCTCCGCGGTGTCCCATGCCAGATCACTGGCGGCGTCTTTCGGGTCCAGCCGCAGCAGATGCTGCAGGACGCTCAGAAATGGTATCTCCTGCGGTGTGTCTGCGATCTGAGGATAGACTGCGTTTTATCAGACGTCTTTTACGAGCGATGCCTGTCTCGATTAGCGCATCGCGTAGCTTTTATAGCTGACTGACAGCGGAGTTGATTGATATACAGCAATACATTAGCAGTTTGAAGCAATTTATTTTGAAGATAATAAATAAATAGAATTAAAACGACATTATTTAATTTACTTTTAAAATTGCAAAATTTGTTACTCAGAACTGCTTAAAAATCAATTTTAATAGTAAAAAATATGTAATTAAATATTGGACAAATATTTATTTATATTTGTAGAAATATTTGTTTAATAGCAAAAATTAAAAATTGCGGACAAAAGCAAAAGTCGCTCACTTGACCGAGGATGGCGTAAAACACGTCTACGTGAGAGGAGAGATCGATCCCGGGTGGCCCGTGATTGCTTAGTTCCTCGTCGGTCTCCCGTTGATCGTCAAACGCGTCCAGCTGCACTCTTACATCCGGCGCGTGGCTTTTCCTACAAGAACAATCGTCACCTTCCTGATCCGAGGATATTTCAAGTCTTTAACGCGTCGTTGTCTGCTCTATTTCCGGCGCGCTCTACTCGCGAGCTTTCTTTAGAGATTCAATTTCTATTCTGCCAAATTTCCTTTCCTTCCTACACAGTTAGTCTTTTCATGCTGTTTTGCTTTAACGATTATTAAATTTGTTTTATGTTATAGTTATTGTGGCTATATATTATAATGGTTAGATAAAATAAATCACCCATATATGATTATTATTTATTAATAATAAATTAATGCAATATCTGAAATAAAAAATGTGACATTTATAGTAAAAATTGTTGACAAAATATTTATTAACAAATTATTAATAAACCGCAAATATCGGGAACAATTTTGTACCCAAAGAAGTCACTGTTATATCTAATGCGATGATATAAATCACAAATCTATGATGAGTATTTTAACGAAATGTTCAAATAGTTCAAATGTATTCTACGGACGCATTCTATTTCTTCAAAGCGCACGGAAATAGTCGCAGTGCGTGATCTCGGCATCGATTCTCAAATCCAATAAGTAGATCAAAATATACGAAGCGCCAGTGCTCGATTGCAACAAACTTAAAATAGAAATTTACTTGTAATTTGCAACAATTTTTATGCAAATCATTCTTCGATAAATTTATAAGTAAGAATAAGTAAGAATATTTACAACAATAAATACTGAAATTCTTTCATAGAAAAGAATAAGAAATTTTGTTCAGTGATCATTGATAATGCGAAATGTACGCAGAGGTAATTAAGGTTTAAGGGGTGAGATAAAGGCACCCACAATTAAGATATGAATGTAGAGATAAGTCGAGCATCCAGAACAGTCTGGGAAGTTTCCAGTTGTGTCCTACCGAGAGAGCGTACCAAAATACTCTCTGCAGCAGTCCAATCCTGCCATCGATCTTCGCCACGAGCAAAACAGAAGTGAATAAAAAAGAACACGACTATGAAAGCACGGCCATGACTCACAGAAAGCAATGCCAGCGCTATGTGTGGAAGAAAAAAAAAAATTAGAATTCTCTAAAACACGTCTGTCCGAAAATACTTGAAATTTTCACGCGCCGCACATAGTAAAACCTCGAGAAATAAATTACACAAATAGCGAAGATAAACACATGTCTGTAACACTACATATTTTCTTTCAAGCTATGTAAGAAACATTCTAATTTCTTGAAGAGAAAAATGCATCGAAGTAGAATAGCAACGTGGCTCATTGACAATGCGTCACGAAAATACTAATTGAGAGTAATTAACATTTTTACAGCACTATGTGTCACTTGGTGCAGCTATTAAATGCATGTTCCACGTGAGATATCGGTCGTTATAAATCACCGAAAACTGTAATGTTTCCTTTTTCCTCTGCTTCTTTCTTATCGCTGATCACGCGGATAGCGAAGATAAAACTTCAGAACGAGAAGTGACGACAAATGTGACGATTTTCGTCAATCGGAGATCGGAGGCAACGCGGAGGACGCCGGCCGGCCGGCGCGTCGCGACGGCGGATGCATTTCTGGCGTCGCTGCACCGCAGCATCCGCCGTTCCAGCGCGACGCCGCGCGAGATGCGGTCGCAGGTGCATTCGCCGGTGCAAGAAGTTAATTCGGGCTTCTCTCGCTCCCTCCGCGGCGTCGCGACCCTTTTTTATTTTTCCTTCCCTTTCCTTCTTTATTTCCATTCTTTCTCTTTCCTTTAATCATTAAAAAAAAGTAATATTTAATTTTTACTAAATTCTCCATTTAATTGAACAAGGCCTTTCTTGTTCTCTCCTTTTCTCTCTCTCTGTTTTTCTTCTCTTCTCTTTTCTTCGAGAACGTTGCTGAAAATATGAGAGACGAGGATTATCCGAATATATATACTTGATTCTATTTCTCGCTCATTGGCGTCGTATTCTTGCGTTGATGAAAATGCTGTCTCCGCGAAAGTGCGTCCTTCTTTGACATTAAACATGTTATTATTTATTCGGCAAATATTTTTCTTTGATAATATTTTGCACGCTCGAAAGAAGATTGTTCAAATTCAAAGAGCGAATTTATCAAAAAGAGTATTAATCGTCGGTGATAGAAAAATGTCTTCGAGCAATAATTTATGGAATCATATTGCAGAGTTAATTTTATTCGGCGTACATTAAAGCAAATGAACAATATCGCACGATTGCTTCATACGAATGAATGTATACTCTTAACATGATTACTCTATCGCGCTAATCATGCAGCTGTTTGCACAACTATGTGTACTGATAAGCGAAACATTCAACATCATAGGCACGTTCAGGCGATTAAAGATCTCACTTAAAAAGAAGATAAGTTTCAACTAATCTAAAAAAAGAGTGATGTACAATCCAAAAATGATGTATGTGCTGTGACAAAAACGGTTTACATAAATAAATTTGCATGAAACATGAATCTGCAAAATTATTTAACGTAATACAAAATGTTCGCAAATTTGTTTGCGCACAATCGATAGATCTTGCCTCGAAAAATACGAGAATCAAGCTGTTCAAGAGTACGACTCTTGTATTAGAACATTATTTGGATTAGTGCATGCAAATGCCGGTGTTCAGGGTCACCATCGTCACGAATGGGATCCTCCCTCGTTAGTGAACCAATCCTTCGTCTAATTATTCCTACGTGCTGCGTGACATTAAGTGGCGTGCGAGGAGGAAAAGGTGTGGGTACAATAAAGCGTCGTTTCGCAACGTTCATTATTATTTATTATTCCACAATGTTAAGTGTTAATAAGTTAATGCCGCGAATCCGGGTCGTCGTAGTGTACTCACCGCAGCTCGTTTAGGATCGGCAAGAGCTTGAGGCCTGAAATGGAAGTCGCAATTATGCATTCAAATTATTCGTAACGGTATAAAACTGTATTTATAATCGTTCGAGTAATCAGAAATTTATTTTTGTACCATGTAGACGAATTATTTTACGTGCGCGTCTTTCATTTGTAAATAGAAGAATTTTAAATATGTAAAAATTAAAAGAAAAAAAGATCAATTACGAACGCCGTGTTATTTTTCTCAAATTATTTATCCAAAAAATTTGAGAAAAGATACGAGACTGTCAAGTAGTTAATCTTGACTGAATGAGGAAGCTTCTTTAATGGCAAGGAAAGACTCGAGTATCGTTCTTCTCTTTCGCTCACCGATAAACTCGTTGCGAATACGTATGCGATCCTTGAGCACTGGCGTCGAGATGACCAAACAATTTATGAACGCCAGCAGTGCTGTCTGGTAATCCTCGGCCGTCGCTTTCTGTAGCTCGTCGACCACGACACGCAATCGATAGCGCTCGCCCTTCCGTTCCTATGGCCGAATATAAGTCTTGTAAGATTGCTCGTTATCACTCCGCTTGTCTATTCCGGGAAACATCTCGAGATATCGTCAATTCCGCCGCCGTGATCGCGGAATAAATACGGCCAATGTTTTTGCGTATGCAACGATCAAACCTATCAGCGGAAGCTTAAAAACTATTACGAAAAAATTTTTTATTAAAATAAAAAATACTACTGACAACTAAGATTTTGCAAAAAAACAAATTAGAAAGTAGAAAATCGCTGCTAACTCCAATTTTTCGATTCATGTTGATTTACGCGGCTTTGTGAATTTTGAATTTTTCTTTTTTTCAAGAACACGACAGGGCGAAAAATTTATTCCTCGAGAGACAATCGCGTGAATGACGGTAATCCGTCCTCTGCAATTCGTTTCTCGTGCGTTTACATGCAAATTATCCATTCGCGATAAAAATATATTTCGCAACGCCGTGGTTTCGTGATGGTTTAACAATGGGAAAATATTACGACAATTCACTCTTACTCGCGCGGAGCTTAGGAGGTGTATTAGCGGTGTGCCTCGTTCTTTTGTTCATTGAAGGGGGACCTTGAACCGTGACTTTTACCTAAGCTCAGCGCACAGGCACCATTTTACAACGTGCACTTCTGCATCTGCGAATGCCGCGGCATTATCCGCCGCGGTGTATAATTTGCCGCGAGAGAGTTTCCGCAGGTTCAGGATAATCGTTCGTTTCGGGCGCGTCCTCTCCGCTCGAATAAGCAACGCGCAAATCATACGGTGAGGAGTCGCAATTTCACCACCGGGATAGTCACCTGGTATATGTGAAGAGTATCGATGGCTCTCTGCCTGCCGTCCTGACTGTAGACGCATAGCGCCGACAGCAGCTCGACGACCTGCTTCTTCACGGACGGGCATGCCGTTTCCAGCGCTGCAATCCGACACAGCGGGACGTTAATATGCGAATTTTGCGCGAGATTGTAGAATCGAAAACGTCAAACGATTTACCTGAGGCGAGCTTGACGCAATAATCGGGATTATCCACGATGTAGTCAAGACCGACGTGGGAATCCATGTTGGCTGCATCTGCGGATGCTGCGCTTCCAATCTGCAGCAACAGAAAAATAATATTACAACTCTGTCAGTTTTTTCTATCTCGTGTCCCTCGGACTTTTTTGCCTCAGCTTGCTTGAAAGAATTAATTTATCATATAAATGATAATATCGATATACGTTATTAATGGCAGACAAGTATCAATATCTTAGCGGTTTAGCATAATCGCGCTGAAAGCGGAACAAGCGGGCAAAATATTGACCGTTCAAACGTTTAACGGTATGCGGAATGTCTGATTTGTAAAACGCTCAACAGCTCGTTCGCGAGAAACGCTAATTATTCCGGTGTCGAGTACCTGTAAAAGGAAACGTCGCGCATTATCGCATAATTCGTCTTAATCTCCTATTAAAACGAGACGCTACCACGGTGGAAATAGATACCGCGTGGTAAATATAACACCAGTTTGAATTTCGCAATAAACGCTGAACTTTTCTCACCACAATTAATACCCGACGCCCATAAAACGCTTTCTAGGCGTTAAGTCAAGCGATCGTTATCAAGCGGTTTTATTGCCGAAATAATTAAATTTTTATTTTAATTTAAGTACACATATGCATTAATCTAAATCTTAAAAAGAACCCATGTTAAAGAAATTCAACGTTTTATCAATATTAAAGTAATTTTTTAATCAGAGATTTCGATACTCCTTCGTCTTATCTCTCTTCGGCGAAGCGATTCGATAATTATTCTGCTAATGTGCGGACCGGCTACACCCACCGGAGTTGAAAACTCAATGGGACCGATTAAAATTGTAAATACAGGACCCAAGATAAAACGTTAGCATTGTGGCGTAGACGACTGGTCGCTTCGAGCCAACGCGTTTTTGCCTCTCGGACGGACTCTGTGACTCAATCGAGCAAAAAGTAAATCCTAGGCGAAGACTGTGATCGCTTTGTATTAAAGTGTGAAAACGCTTCATTTACGGCGAGAAGATTAATGATTCTTGGGATTGGCCTGCTAAGCACAGCGCGTTCCTCATAAAACATCGAATTCGCAATAACAAGCGGAGTGGCTCGAGGCTGAAGAGCGAGGTCTAGGTTGAAGAGTCTCTATAGCGGCGCGCGCGTGCTCGGACATACTAAAGTTAAGCTTATTATGCGCATTTATACGTTCTCGATTTCGTGGTCTGCAAGGAAAGGCTCGGCTGAGTTATTACCATACATTTTACCTTCGCCGTTTAAACCTTTCAGGCACGGCGCGTATCGTATATGATAATTTTATTAGCTCATAATCTATGCAAATGTTCTACAACACTTTCTAACTACATTTTAAATCTAAAAATATTACAAATTGGTCCTCACGATAAGGAACGAGTAAAATTTGTTATTCTCGATATTTTTCGACCCTATTTCACGCAAAGTGGTCTTTGAAAGAAGAAAAAAATTTACCCGGAAAAATTCTCAGCATTAAATTGCGAATTTCCGCAGCCTTTAATGTGTAAAACGGTAATGCGCTGGAACGAATGGAACGCAAACGGAACACGTGTATCCGAACGAAAAGCGCCGATTACAGTGTGCGCTTATTAAACGTCGTTGTTTTTTGCGTTCGAAAGAACCTGAGATATTACGCCGGTCCCATTCGCAATACGAACGTCGTGAGTGCCGTGTCGGCACCGGATATAGGCGGTTAACGGAAAGGAGCGAGAAAGTCACTGACGCCAGTGACGAAGGAACGGAGCGAGACGATCGGAGTGAGAGTGCGTAGGAAAATCGAGAGAGAACCACGAAGGAGCGAGCAGTCTCGATAGCGGCGATGGATAGTGATGGGATCAAGATGAATATACGTACTCAATTATCTCTTTCTCAATCGATTCAATGCTTGAGGACTGCTATATACAGGATGGTCTGAAAAACAGACGCTCTTTTAGCTCTTTCATAGGCGGTGGCCAGTATATGCCACCTTCCGCCTTACAGCAATTTTTTTCATACTCCTGAAATATTTTATTTTAAACGAAGAGATGTAAAAAGCATGTATAAAATAAAAAATTTCAAAACAAAGATATACTTATTTGAAGTAAATCATTTTAAAAGCGCGAAAAGAGCGGAAGGCGAAAAGATGGCTTATATGCAAGCGGCCGATCCTGCAAGGATTAAACGACAGATTCTTTGGACCAACTTCTGATCTGGATCTCCTTCTTCCGCAATTAATTTGCAAATTTGCTTGTAAACAAGCGCCGCTTGCTAACGGACGTGATTATCGGTCGAATTACGCTCGATCCCATCGCTGGACGGCCGCACGCGCGAAGAAGAGCGGCAGGGAAGGAAATATAAGGGGAAAGACCATAGGATTGCGTCATCGCATGCATGCGCATACCTCGCTAGTCACGCTTAAAAATAGATTCGGTCGGATATTAAGGACCCGACCGGACGCCGAGATGAGACGGTGCGATGCGACCGACCGAAAGCGGGCGGCGCACCGGCTGCAATTCCGAATATAACGTGGGCAGGGCAGGTAGAGGTGCATACAACGCTCGTGCGATGATTCATGCGAGGTGCGCTAAGCAGGAGAACTTCCTGCGAGATATCGTTCCGCGAGCGGACGGCCGGGGCGACCTCGAGGCGCGCGTCATTTACGGCCGCTGCCCATCTTAGGAAGGCCGCGGATGGCTTAACGTGCAAAAAAAAATCAGGTGTGGTCTAGTTTTCGTTTTTTTTTTTTTTTTTTTTTTTCTTAAACGCATCCGAGATTATCCGGATCCGGAGAGGATTGCGGTGGCCTCGCTAATTGAATCGTTTGCGCGAACAACGCGCGTAAGAATGAAATCCTGTGAGAGAATAAAAATCCTACTTCACATATTACCGAGAGTTGCTAAACGGATGAATAACTTTCGAACACGATATTTTTCTTGTTTTCTTCGTAACGGTAAAAATTTGCAAATGTTTCATCGATAAATCTAAAATAATGTTTATGATATGCGCATAATATTATTCAGTTCTATAAGTGTCAATAGCAAACGAGATTCAGTACGTTTCAGTTCTGCTTCGTCTTTTTTACTTGTTCATATGAAGATCCTGGCTTTATTTTGACAAGCGTTTGCTCTACAGCGATGCTGCTTATTAATTAACACGGACAAACCTAAAAGATAACAACAGGATACTATTGAGCGTCAGCG